AACTCCAATGATCAACTTGCCGATGCACTCACCAAACCTCTCAGTCGGGGCCCATTTCTTCGTTTACGTTCCAAGATTGGAGTTTCCGATGGATCCTCCATCTTGCGGGGGCGTATTAAAACCTAAGATTGATTTAATATTTAATTTGTAAATCATTGCTRTAAATGAGTTGCTAGTTTAGCTCCTTAATAGTCTCCTAATCAAATATTCATTGCTGTAAATGAGTTGCTAGTTTAGCTCCTTAATAGTCTCCTAGTCAATTGTATATCTTAGCTATATATAGGCTGTCTTTGTAAACTGTTTTACACAGAAAATACAGTTCAGAAATCCCAATTCGTTTTATGCCCGTGTCCCTAATTCCTCTAGGTAGGCCTGAAAAATGTTAGATTATCGTAAGAAAGAGAATTGTTGTCGGTTTCCCCTTACAATTTTCCCCACACAAGTTCTGAGGTAGGAACATCTAGCAGAAGGGGAAAAGGAACAATGGGTATGTAGCTAAGAGATTTTATGATTCTTATATATTAGTTACATTCTTCATCATATATTAACTTTTTGGAGATAATAAGTGAACGGACAAAGGTAGTTATAGAAAAATAAAAGAACAATGAGCATTGACTTGTTTAACGTGTGTAATATCTTTCGTTTACAAAACAGTATATTTTATATGAAGTCATGCTTTACTTTCATAATCCCATAAATAGTATATACTGATGAATACCAGTTCATTTTTGTCACCTTCAATAAGGGCCTTGCCTCATTCCTTCTCTTCTTAACAGGCATAAGGGATGAGTTTTACTTCCACTTTAAGCACTATAATTTGTGAATGTGCATCTCTCCAGTTTCCAGAAACGAGTTTCCCTTATTATGGATTTTGGAAGGGGTAGAAGCACCCATGCTTTCCAGAAATGCACATGTAGAGTGTAGACAAGTATAGCATGTGTACTCTTAAAAACCCCACTGTTTTTAAGTAAACATATACCTGATAATCACAAATGCCTTGCAAATAACCAAATCAAATCTGATCCTTCTTTCCGTTTCAAATACTTTGAGGGGGCATCTGGTTTGAATTTTGAGGGATTCGAATTTCGTTTAAGGATTTGGAATCTTTGCTATGTTTATTTTGTAGGAT